ATAGGAGGAGTAGTTTAGATTTTAATCAAACACTTTATTATTTCTCAATTTTTCGATATGACTTCAACACCCCACCTCACAAGCAGTCATTTCGTTGGAATCGTGCTGTCATTCATTTTTCAATCGGTTCGTCATTATCATTTTATTATCTGAAAATGCCCCTGTTGCCTTTGTTAAGGCTGCCCTTGCACCCCAAGTTATAGAAATTGGTGCTCTAAGTGCCCCTGTAAATGAGTCCGGTGCTGCAGCCGCTGCTTTTCATGTCACTGCAGGCTCTTCTCGCTCTGTTAACATGATCTCTGCTGCACAGCCAGCTCTTGTTGAGGCGATTACCAATGATGTTGCTATTTTACAAGCTGAAAAACCAGCTTATGTCCTTAGTAATGTGGCCCCTAACCATGTTCCTACTGATTTCTCTGTTACAGTTGCCTCTTATTTTTCTGTCTTGGAAGCAGATACTCTATCTGAACACACTGATGCCCTCTTTGATGACATAATTCGTGCTGATGTTTCTGTCCAACATCTAGTGGCTCTAGATGAAACCCCGGTGGCCACCCTTAACGTGGCGGTAACCGAGGAAATTCATCAACCGGTCACCTATGGTGCTGGCAAAGTTTTGTTTGAAGCCCGAAAAAGAAATGAAGAGATCCTCTCTGATCCAACGTTTGACTGTCCAGTTACTACACCTGTCCCATTCATGTCCAGTGATGAAATCATTTCTGAGGACACCCAAATGCTAACTTTTTCTATTTCAGGTCAAACACAGATCGACGAAGAAAACCTCAAAGGATTTACTCAGGTACAAAAACGAAGAAGCAAAAACACAAACTCAAAAATCTCACTTAATGAAGGAACAGAAGATGTACAACTATTCTACGAGGTGGGATATTCATCTCACCCAATGATCACCAGGAGCCACTCAAGAAGACCTCAAAATGAAACAGACTACTATCTCTACCCAGTTGACGAGAGGTTCGACTCACCACACAAACTACAAGCACCTCTTCAACGCTTCAAATTGACTCATCCGGAGGAAATGACTTATAGGTCTTATCTCAAGAGAGCCATCAGGTTTCATAACAGATACAATAGATCCCTTTCAGCTTCAATTGGAATCCCCTCACAAAATTTCAATTGTTGATGTATTTTTCTATTTCCTTTCTTTTCTCTTATGTTCCATCAATTATAATCTCAACTCCTTGTACTCAAAACTTTATTTAAATAAATTAGGGAGGTGTTCCCCGGCACCCCCCACCTAGTGTGGTATTAACCGGGGAAAAAAGATGTATATTATGTCAAAAAATAACCCTACCAATCAAGTAGACTGGAACCGGTCCAACGTAACACCAGTACCGGTTCTTGCAGAGGGGAATAAGGAACCAATTTGGAAATCAGAATCAGGTCAATTCACCATCATCACACATACTTGTATTAGAAAAAAGTCAAATAGAGTGTTGTCTAGTTGCTAACATTCATACTTGAGGTTGAAGCTTCCTAGTCTAGTTTAGTTTGTAAGCACATGAAATAGGCATTGTAATAACAGTTTTGGAACCTCTAAAATATAAAATACATGTAAAATATGGCTAATATATTATCCATGGTTGTACATCTTTATTTAGATTGGATCTTCTTATCCTCCATTTGTTTTAGTTTGTTGATAAACACCTCCACCATGCTTCTCTATGATCACATGGTCACCTCTGCCAAACTCTGCAAGTTAGGAAATATAGTAAGAAGTATCGAAGGTAGTTAATTAATATGATTTTCCAATTTTGGGAGGCTTCATGCACAGATAGATTAGAAATGAATAACCGATTGAATATCCTAGTACATAAATTGCGCCATATCTTTTTTCTTCAATCGCATTCTCATAATCACACTAAAAAATTTATCCTAATAATATTAGTATTTCTTTCATCACCTCGTTATTTGATAAGTTTGTATTTAGACACGCATGTGATGCATGTTTAGATCGACTTTTGATGGTTTCCCTAATTATTTTGTGTCACAAGTCACAATTTTAGCTCAAGTTATGTTTACCGGGCGTTGGTTCAAGTTTTGTGTTGTTTGAAGTCAAAATCAGGAATTTAGAGTCCGACACCGACGCTTGAGGAGCAAACGGGATGATTCGAGAAGCATTCTAGATTGAATTGAGAGCTTTGGAGGTCACCGGGAGGTTCACAATGAAGATTTGATAACAAAAGAGCTCTAGGATTGGTTACGAGATTAAATGAAGACGAATAAAGCTTGAAAACGACGTTCAGAATGATCTTCTGTCAATCATTCAAGCATATCTCTTCGTAGTAGACTCCAAAGTACACGATTCAAGTTGCATATGAAAGACAACTTCAAGATCTACAAATCATATGAAGACACCATTCCGAGAATATGAGAAGAAGAAACTGAAAACAGACGATGAAGTCAGATGATCCCTGTTGCGATTTCAGAATGAGAACTTCCACCATTTTATTCATCTCTTGATTGGTAATTCAAATCCAATTCAGAAAGTTGTGGTGGATAGAGAGGGCTTCATTATCTATAACTTTCATGAAGGAAGTTTTGTCAAATTCGGATTAGAGAAGCCGGAAAATTCACTGGAAGCCACGCACGTGTGAGTGGGGGGACGCACACGTGAGTGGGGGACGCACGCGTGCGTCCAGCGTTTTTACGCGCAAGTCTGTCGGACGCACGGACTCCACGCACGCGTGCGTGGGCGCCGTGCGTGCCCCGTTTCAGTCCTAATTCAATCGGAATTGCTCCGTTTTTCCTATTTAAACAGCCTGTAAACCCCTGTTTCAAGGGGGAGCTTAGAGAGAGTGCCTAGCACGAAATTTAGAGAGCTTTTAGGCCTTGTTCATCAATCTTTTGGGATTCTTTGTAAGTTCCATCTTTTTAATTAATGACAATTATTTCTATTCTTCCCAATTCTATTGATTCTTCTATTATGAGTCGGGAGTAGTTTTAATTAAGGATTTGAGATTGATGAAGGGGTTAATCACGATATATGACTTGTTTCTTGACGGATTAATTGCATGAATGTCGTTTAATTTGTGCTTGAACAATTTAATTGCTATCTTTTGTAACCTGGAACCGCGGCTAGAATTACAATTGCTTGTAGAATAAATTAAGAGAGATTTATTTTATTCTAAGACACATTCACACACACTTAATCGTTCGCTAAGAGATTAGTAGCGATTACGGGGTCGTAAGCTCGCTCGTCTTGGCAATAATTTAGGATCCTATCACATGAGAGATCAGTCTGGTCCCCTAAATTATTGTACTCTACGCCGCGAGAGCGGTAAGAACTTAGTATTGATTAGCTAGGCTCAATTAAATTAATTTCATGTAATTAAGCCTGATCTGCCAGAAATTTGATTACCCCGGAATCAATCCACGTTCCCTTCGTCATTAATTAAGAAGAACCCAACCTTTTATTTTAATCGTTCATTCGCTATAGTTTAATTTCCATTAAACCAACCAATCTCGCGACGCATTTATTTTATTTATTTTTAATCGTTGAATTTAGTCAAAAGATGATATCAAAAGTAATAATATAAATAGGACTTTGTTTCATTATAAATCAGATGACTTGGTTATTATAATTAGACTTGTTATTAATTCTAATAATATAATTTGGATAGTGTAATATGGACTTCTTTCGTAAATGGCTTATAATAATAAGAATATAGGATAAATAGTAAAATGAATGAAATATAATTGGGCTAGTTAAACCAACAATGATTTAGATTGAATAATTAATTACAATAAAGGGATTTGGTAAAAATAAATTGGAAATATAGAATAGTTTTAAAAAATGGACTGGTTGGGCAGAACTAATAAAATGAATTAGATTAATGGGAATAAATAATAACTATGGGTTAATAACAAAATAAATGCAATTAAATCATGAGAAGGGAATTTAGAAATAAAGGGGTAGAGGATTTAGATTGTAGTTGGATAAGATATTAATGTGTGAATTTAAATAGAAGGTTATTTGAGTGAGGAGCAAGGTAAAGGATCTTACTAGCTAGGAGCACTTGGAGCTTGAGATAAGTTCTATGTCAACCAAAATGCATTTTTACCTCCTATATTATATATGTGATATGTATTTATACTATTTGAGTAATTTTGTTAAGATGATGATTTTCTGAAATTTTATGAATTATGATTGAGAATGTTTATGTAATACTTGAGTTATTTGTGTAAAGTTTTGTACGTTGTACCTTTGGCGAAATATATAAGTTGTATATTTTATGGGTAATAATCCCTATTGTAAAACTATATCTATGAATAATAGATATAGCATTTTTGGAAATTAATCAAGATAAAATGAATCTTTCATAATGTGTAGCATCGCAGGAGAAATTCGCGATGTCGATTTTCCACATCCGGATAAATGTGGAGGGTGGTTAGGGTTGTTACTACTTGGGGGAGGACCGGTAACCATTCCTGGTAATTTGGACCGGTAATCATTCCGGGTAATTTTGACCGGTAACCATTCCGAGTAACTTGAACCTGTAACACCCCCAAATTTCTCACCCGAAAAAAAATACTTTATTCAAAATAAATATCAACTTTATTTGAAAACATCAGAGTTTTGCAGCGGAAATAAAAAAGGAAATAGGGGTGCTACCGCCACACTCGATTCTCTCTTAATCGAGTGCACAGGCTAAAACAACTTAAACTTCAAAATCAAAAGTTCACTGATTAAAGTTATTGAAAGAGAAATTTACAATAATTTACTAATAATGTTTTCTAGCGAAAGCTCTCTCTCGAAATCAACTTCAACATCGATCAACTCAACACCTGTACAAAAACCATGTACAGAAAGAAAAAAAAATAAAAGAAACACACATTAGCAATAATGCTAAGTAAGTCTCACCTAACCTTTTAAAATAATAATAATAGTATATATATAAATTCGTACAACCATTAGTACAAAATATTTTCAAAACACTTTATAAATCATAAATCATAAGTAAACGATATCTATTTAAAATCCCAATCACATAATTAACTCGTAAACCATAAAAATTCCAAAATACATGAAACACCCAAAATTCTCCTTTTGAATTTCTCCCAAAATCACTTTGTATCTAACTTCCTAGTAATTTCGAAGGGCGGTGCTCAACACTTCGGTTGAGCCCGGTGGTCCGTCGTTATGTACGGCCACCCCGGAACTATCGCCGGTACCACAACTGCTCCTTGGAAACGGAAACAACTACTTTAAGTGTGCACACCCCCTAAAGGTATTCCAAGCCCTCCGGGTTAGTAAGTCGATCCGGGTAGCCGGGATGTTTTCTACCAACTACCCCACCTCAAAACCTGAATGATTAGGAACTACTACTACCACTACTACTCAAAAGCCGGGATGTTTTCTACCGACCGTCAATTCACCTCAAACCAAAACCACCAAAAATTGAGTAGTAGTAGACCTAACCATCCTCCACATTTTAAGGGACGTGGAAAACCAACACCACGGATTTCTCCCGTGATGCTAACCTTTTATGAAAATATTTATTTTTCCCAAAATCAATCGAAGTTTATACTTCAAAAATTCTCTTTTCATCAAACTCCCACAAAGATAACAAATTACAAAATATTCCAAAATCGTATACAATAACTCATATCAACAAAACAATATATCAACTAATATCTCAAATACAACCCTTTCATATAATAATATTCACTCAAATTCAGCACACATAATAAATTCAATTCTCAAATATGCACACAAAATATTTAAAAGAAATCATGAAGAAAAAGAACTAATTTCGGTTGACGTGAAACTTACCTCAAACTCTAGAGAATTCTTCTACATTGCTCCTGATTACTCAAACCACCCTTTATAAAAATTCAAAAATCAATATGTAACTACAGTTAAATTTCTCTAACCTTTATTAATAAATTCCCCTTTTTATGATTCTATTGTAATTAATCCTAATAATCATCCGTAATAATTCTATACTTATGTTTTAGTTATAATTATCATTTAGTGATTCTTTTATTGAAGTCAATCCAGCGTACGTAGTATTATTTATTCTTTAACATTTTAGCCAACTAATAAACAGCCCAGCCGAACCAGCCCAAAAGAGTAGCAACAGACTACAAAGTATGAACTATGAAGTACTACGTATGAAGTACATACATACGTGAATCGTGTGGCCGTCGCTCATAACAGGCGTGCGTAACTCTCCAGTTTTTGGTGGCGACATCGGGGCAGACGTGGCGGCGACGACGACCCTGTTCTACAATGCGGTGGTGGCGACGTCTCAAGCGAGCGGCGGCCCCGGCTCTTCCTCCGGTGAAGGGTTCCTTCTCTGTCCAGTGAAGAAGACGTACTCCATTGACGGAGATCTTCCTTCTCTTGCCACAAGTGATGGAAATAGATTTTTTTATAGGCGGCGAAGTCTAGTGGCAGCAGTCAAGTCCGATGGAAACAACTTCAGCTTCTTCTCCTCCAACGTGAGAAACGGTGGGCCGGAGGGCGGCAGAAGTGGACCGATCGACGATGACTCTTCTCTTCCTGGAGTGGAACGACTCAACCCAGTTCGATATCCCGAATGGTACTCCGGCGAATACAGCGCGCGGCGGCAAAGCTGCAAAGGTTATTCTAGCCTTTTCTCCGGCGATCTTCTCTTCCGACTGACCGGCGGTCAAGACAACTATGGCCCTCTCTATATTAACTCTCTTTTTCCCTCCTCTCGATGGAGATAGCAATAACATAGATCAAGTATGCTAGCTTTTAGTCTTTGTTTTTTTTTTCTTTTTCGTAGGTTGCAGCAGCGTGATGATCGATGGGTATATATATACTAGATCGGAAGGTTCTAGCATTAGGGTTTCAGTTTCATTCGTCGACAATGATTCTTGTAGCCCAGCCCAAGGGCAGCGTAATCCTCGTATACTTATTGCCGCATATGACTATGTATTTGAATATGCGTATTTGCAGCCCGCATGTGACTTCTAATTTTCAGCCGGTTATGGCCTCTTCGTGGGTAATAATTATTTGGTATTAACCTTTGGTCCGTTTCAGATTTTACTCATGCTAATGAATGGCCGTTGCAGTACGTTTCATTACTATGTATGGAATGTACATGTATGCATGCCATATTGCCATGCGTAACATGTTATGTATGCATCATGGTGTCTAGCCTTATTATAACATGTGTTACATATGTGTATGTACTAATTCACTTAAGTAAGTTAAAATAGTTATAAAATAACTATTTTTACTTATGCCATATGTATAATTGGTACTTGATATAAAACGTTACTTCTATTATCGGACCATTTTTATGTGTCTAAAATTTCGTAAATGTTAAATTTTTGGTTTGACTCAGTTCATAAATAAAATGTCACTTATTTAATAAAATGTTGTATCCTATTTTTGAAATATTTTTATCTGACTAAAGCGTCGTAAATTTTGAAATTTTATATGATTAGAATGTCACGACTGTTGAATTTTTGTTTCACTCACTTAATAATTAAAATGTCATTTCTGTAACATTGTATCTGACTAATAAAAATTATTTTTTTATTTTTATTTAAATTTTTGGAGTGTCACAGAACCGGTAATCAATCCGGGTAATTGATGATATTTTGGGGGCTCGGTAACCAATCCGAGCAAAATTAATAATTGGGTGTCGGGCAAAAGACCCTTTTTATTTTGGTAGTAGCAGTAACATAGTTACTTGTATAGGGTAATCCCTTTTTGGTGGAGTAGGGGGACGTTAACGTCCGAACTTCTTGGGCTTCTTACTACTCGGGGGGGCTTGGAATCCCTCTTAGGAGGTGTGCACACTTAAGGTAGAAGTTAAGTTTCCATTGGATCGAAGTTGTGGTACCGTCAAAAGTCCCGGGGTGGCCGTACATAACAACGGTTCACCAGGCTCAATAAAATATTGAGCACCGCCCTTCGATTCTTACTAGGAAAGTTAGTCACAAATGAGATTTTGAGAAAAATAAGAGAAGAGAAATTTTATACTTACTCAGAAGAAGTTAAGGTGTTTGGTGGAAAATCATTGTTTGGAAATTTTGCACCTTGAAAATAATTTTATCTAAAACCATTTTCTTGTATACATATAGTATATATATACTAGTATTTTTGCCAAAACTTGATTATTTTACGGGGTTGGGTGGGACTTACTTGGTTGAGTTCTTGAAGGCGCCATTAGAGAAATCACTAGCAATAAAACTTTTATTTATGAACTTTATTTCAAGGATTTGTAATGAGACTTTTTTGCTACTTTTACTTTACTTTGGTTTGACTAAGTACATTTTGTTTTGGCTGTGCACTTAGCGATGGTTTTGCTAAGTGTGGCGGTAACATGCTCAATTTCCTTTTGTTATTCCGCTGCAACATTTTGAGTTCTTTTAAATAAAGTTCACCATTTTCTTTTTAATAAATTATTATTTCAAGTATTATTTTTGGGTGGGAAATTGGTGGTGTTACAAAAGGATATTATAATTCAGAATTAAACTATATATTTATTTATTTATTTAGGATCGAGTGAGAAAGACACTGAAAGAGAAAAGTGAGAATGAATCTAGAACATTGGATTTGAGAGTCGTGCATTATCTGAAACTCCAATGTATTGAAAAAACTCCAATGTGCACTATCATATGAAGAAACGCAGCGACATGTTTGTAAAAAAGTGAACTTTTTCTGTTGTTGCGAAATGTGCATCATTCTAACGGAAACAAGCTTTCTCACTGCAACCGCACTAATATCAAACATGTTTTATTTATTGCATGCACCTCTACATATTTTGGCTGCAGACAAATTACACAAGAAAATCATTTCTATCTTAAATAAGGTTATGTCATCTTTCTTTTGAGGTGCTTCTTTTGACAAGCCTAAACAGCACTGGCTCAAATGGGAAAGTCTTTGCTTTCCTTATTTGGAAGGTGGTCTTGGAGGAACAATTTCACCTTTTGGTCTGACTACATACACAAAAGATGTCCCATGGCTGAGAAAAAAAGAGACAATATTTAATACTCCATCCGTCCCTTAAAACTTTGTCAAGTTTGACTGGCACAGGGATTAATAAAGTAAAAATTGTGGTTGAGGTTTGTGCAGAGAAGAGAGAATTAACTGGTACCACAAATTCTTTACTTAAAAGGGAAAGTGGCAAAGTTAGTGGGACATCCAAAAAAAAGAAAATTGGCAAAGTTTTAAGGAACCGTGGGGCTACGTGGTGTTCATAACCAATGCATGGAATATACAGATTTTAAGTAACATTCCTTACTGGAAGCTATCCTCCGATGGCTCTTTTCAGCTTAAAGACACCTATGATGAAATCAGACCTAAATATTCTACACTTTCTTGTAAAATGAATTGGCACGTACTCAAGGCAGACCATTTTCGTTAAACACTCCTATCCCTCAACTATTGGCAAAGAACTTCATTGTATTCTAACTGTTATTATTAAATGGACTCTAAATGTGGGTGTATGTGACTTTCAATTAGAGATTGATTCTCAGGTCATTCTCAAACTGGTTTCACGTAATTCAAAGATAAAAGATTTGCTTCATTTGGTAGCTAGCATCTCTTAATCCCTTCAAGCTAGAATGAAATGTCTCTTTAAGCGGCTGCTCTTATAGCTTCTGTAAATGATAAGTGGGATTTCACATTCGAATACCCCAATGACTTACCTTCTCAAGTCAGTGGAGCAATTGCATTGGACAGATTTGATTTGCCATAGAGAAGCTAACTTGCATTTGTTATTTTTACTACGTAATGATATACGAACTATCGAATTTCTTAGTTCAGTTCGATTTTATTTGATTTTTATTAGTTTCGGTCAGGCTCAGTTTAGTACGGTTCGAAAGAAATGCTATCAAACTCAAAACAAATTACATATGGTTTGATATTGGTTTCGTACGATTAAGTTCGGTTAAACCTAACGAATATGCCCCCTAGCCAAAATCATATAGAAATACAATGTATCGAAAACTATAAAAATATAAAAAAATGTAAGTCTTTTGATACTCTATTTTTGCAAAAATATTGGTAGATATATCTAAGTAGATATCAATAAAAAAATTGTAAATATTTTATTTAATTTAGAAAATAAAAGGTAAATATTCAGAGGTTAAGCATAAAAAATTTAAAATCTTAAATTCAACAATAAATTTAGATAAAATGACATTCATTTCCAATAAATGAATAATAAAATATATGCAAACATCCTATATAGAAAAGTTACCTTCGTCACATTTTATATCTCTTGTTTTGGTTTGACGAAATAATTAATAAAATGATTGAAAAAGTAGTAATTGTGATTGAGATTTGAGTATAATAAAATGAAATGACGTGAATAGGGTTGGATTCGGTTCGGGCCACCCGGCCCGTGACCCGGCCCGGCCCGGTACTGTGCAGGCCCGGGACCGGTCCGGGACCGGGTATGGACCCGAACCGGTGGGAATGGGCGGGGCGGGCTCGGTGCTGGATTAATGTGACCTGGCCCGGCCGGGTCGGGCCCGGGCTCGGGTCCGGTCTTATTTTAAAAAAAAAATTGTTTGGGCTCTTGGGCTACTAGCCGTTGGGGGTGGGGCTGGGGACAACCCAAACGGCTATATAGCCGTTGGGTGGGGTAAAGGGGGGGTCCGGGGGGGTTGGCTGGTGGGGGGTGGTGGGGGGTAAAAAACCTATAAATACTCCTAATCTTAAACATTTTTTCATATCTCTTCTCCAATTCTTCCTAAATCCTATTCTTAACTCTCTACTCTCTAATTCTCTTATTCTCCATTCTTCAATATATTATATTTATTATTTATAGTTTATATTAATTATCTACTTATATAAACTATAAATAGATATAAATAGTATTATATTACTTATATTTGTTATCTAATTATATATTACTTATATATTTATTATATCTATTAATATAGTTGGAATTATATCTAATTAATTTGAAGTCATTCTATTACTCCCATCCGAAAGACCGAAAGACCGAAAGAGGTAGGAAATTATTCTATTATTTGCACTTGTTTAATTACTAGTTAATTTGCTACATTTGACTCTTGTTTAATAGTTAGATAAATAGTTAATTAGTTTTTTACCATTTTTTATTAATTGCTACATTTGACTCTAGTTTAAAAAATATGTTGTACACAAAACTAGTTAATTCACTACTTAATTTGCTATAACTCGAATTAATAGTTAGATAAATAGTTAATTAGTTTTTTACAATTTTTTTATTAATTGCTACATTTGACTCTAGTTTAAAAAATATGTTGTACACAAAACTAGTCAATTCACTACTTAATTTGCTATAACTCGAATTAATAGTTAGATAAATAGTTAATTAGTTTTTTACAATTTTTTATTAATTGCTACATTTGACTCTAGTTTAAAAAATATGTTGTTCACAAAACTAGTTAATTCACTACTTAATTTGCTATAACTCGAATTAATAGTTAGATAAATAGTTAATTAGTTTTTTAGAATTTTTTATTAATTGCTACATTTGACTCTAGTTTAAAAAATATGTTGTACACAAAACTAGTTAATTCACTACTTAATTTGCTATAACTCGAATTAATAGTTAGATAAATAGTTAATTAGTTTTTTACAATTTTTTATTAATTGCTACATTTGACTCTAGTTTAAAAAATATGTTGTTCACAAAACTAGTTAATTCACTACTTAATTTGCTATAACTCGAATTAATAGTTAGATAAATAGTTAATTAGTGTTTTACAATTTTTTATTAATTGCTACATTTGACTCTAGTTTAAAAAATATGTTGTACACAAAACTAGTTAA